AAAAAAGTATGTAAAAATTTTCACCTTTAACCAATCATCATAAAGGTTGAACAAAAACATTTGTGGCTCAGTTGCTTTGAGAATTAGATCGCCGAATTTTTCAACCTGAAACAATAAACGGAGGAAAATTGATCATAAATAAACGAGATCATAGAGATTTCACTAATAGCTGGGTGGTGATTTTTGTACCTTCATGATTGCTTGGAAGGGTAGCATCAGTTCGGAGCCCTTGATAACGATGTTCGGGAAATCAAGCAAGTGCACTTCCAGTGGATCCAACATTGCTTTACGTGTTACGATGATCTGACGTGGTTGCTCCTCCACTGGCAGTGAACGAATCAATGCTGCCACCTCTTCTGCTGTCTTCCATTTCGCCAGCTAAAAATAACGTTCCTGTGATAAAATTCAAACAATGCATGCATCAAAATATCGTGATAACTGATATAACGTAATCCTTCCTGCAATTTAAACAAAAAAAAAAATTTTTAAACTTCTAGAATCAATAAATTCACCTGACTGAGACGTTTTTGCCCGGCCCATACACTGGTATGGATGATTTTTAGGAAAAGTTGACCGGTACGCGGATTGAAAATGAAAATCGCACCGTTGATCGGTTTTGTTGTCAAATTACCTTCGAATGTCTGCAAAATCGTCAGCATAAAATACAAAATACACATATTAAGGCTTTTTATTTACCGAGACGGCTAAAGCCAGCCAAATGTTTCCACGGAAAAGCCAATCAGCTGATACTTCCTTCAAGAGACAAAACAAACGCTAGAAACACAAGCAGGCCGGTATAAGAATAGGAAAAGTGGCCAGCTCTACGGCTAGAAAACCGAACAATGAATTACAGCCAACCTGAGAATATCAGGCAATATTTCCCGCCGTGGGTAATATTTCTCTTCTGTTATTGCGCCACCGTAATTATTAGTAAGACCGCCTGGACTACTGGAAGGGTAATCCGAGATATCCATCTGCAAAACGACCCACTGCCCACGCTTATCAACACTTTGGAACTCCACCCGGTATTTGTTCCCTGTACGAATGCCAAGTACAACTCAACCCATTTCACGTAGAACCACTATTTCGATATCTAGAAATCATCATTCTTTTCCCCTCCATCCCATTTCCTCCCCCCCCCCCTTTCTTCCCATTTTCCTCCCTCCTTCCCCTCTTCCCCCCTCCCCCTCCTTTCCAACCCTCATTCCATCAAACATCCACTTAGTCACAGCTAAAGACTTTTCCTTCACTGTCGGCGACTACATTGAACTTAATTGGAAGGTAAAATGTACGAAACCTTGTGGATGGTCACTCTGTAGACATTCGTATCGTCGACAAACCAAATGATCTGGTTGCTGAACAGTTCGCCGTAATTTTGTGAGGTGAGATAGGGTTCGGTAGGTTCCGATGAATACAGTTGCAGGCCTTTACGAATACGCTCACGTAACACGTAGAAAGCTGGATTTGCTTTAATTATTTTAGCCATTGCTTGACGAATCAGTGGTTTCATTCCAGGGAACCAATTGCCATAAGCACTAAAGTAGAGGTTCAACGATACTGCTGCTGCTGCTGCTGCTACAGAGCAAAATTTCAAATTTCAAACATTATTTGGTATAAAATACGACTACAGGCCTTTACCACCCAAAAATAATGGCACAATCATTAAAAAGTCTCAAAAATTCATGCAATTCTAAATGATCTGAAACTAAAAACTTTGCTTTTGGCCTACATCTGGTACTAATTTTTTTGCCTACATGATTACATTTGGCCTACATTCAGTACTAGAGTATTTTAAAACTGTAAAAAATTTTCATGCGCCCAGAATCGCCGTTGCTAAAATGAGACCTGTATAAATTATAAGCCAAATCGATGGCTATCAGGACGCCTGTTGGTGAGGGATAAATTGACATATTATCGGTGGTATAATCGAGGAATTTCGCCCGCGCATAACGCTCCACATCATGCGAATCGTAATCACCCCAACGTAACTGAATATCCAGCCAATACTTCTGAGTGGTGGTATTGTCCATCACATCTCTGAAGATTTATTAATCAACAGAAACTGGCCAAAAAAACCCCTACAGCATTCTGATACGGTCACCAGGAAGATAAAGTAACACAGTGGTGAAGCCACTAGCTGCAATGATCGGGGAAAATAACATAACAACGGAAAGCAGCTTCCTGGGGTATTCAATGCAACTTGGGAACGGTTTTCAAGATTTCCAATTAGCCATCAAGGAAATCATTTCCTTTTTATTTAGTTTAAATATTTCATTTAAATATAAAACAAATATTTAGTCTGATTTTAATTTAAACAAGGCAAATATATAAATAAGATATAAAGTTAAAAGAAAAATGTATGAATGATCATGGAAAATATAAGAAAGGATTACAGAAAAGAAAGGAAAGATGTGAAAAAGAAGTATTAAAATAGGTAAAAAATGTTTAAATTTATTTAATTTAAATAAAAAGCAATTCCCCAAAATATCAAAATATAACTTCCCCAAAATATCTTTGAAGCAATTCCCCTAAATGCCAAACATCTAGCGAAATAGTAGGATGGAAGGAGTGGTCTTAAGTGTCATGTGCCGAAGGATATTTTACGATGTAGTTAGTCCGCGTTTCATCCCTTAGCTGTAAACACAGGTCGCGTAATGTGTGCGGGTCGAAGCGGGAGTCATCAGTACAGCCTCCTAACCGCCATGTTCTGAACAGTCATATGGCTAATTCGGGAAGGAATGAGAACCTCCATTTTTAAGGTAACAAACTGCGAAGCTGGTGATTAAAAGCTGATGATTAAATGGCTCATTTGACAAGCTGCAAAACATCTTCTGATGATATTCATAGAACTAAAAACGACAGAATTTGCATAAACGCTAACTTTGAATCGGCTAACAAAGAGGGTCGCGAGACGTGCCATTTGTACTGGGCGAAAAGAAGTATGTCAGCGCAAGAGCTGTTCATTTTGTATGATTTGCGCGGATGGATAGTTTCTTTCTGAACAGTTTGGATTTCCAGTGCATCAAGTTCTTGATCGAATACCTGCAAAAACAATCAGGATTTTCATTCTTGATTTCCATTTCTGTGATAAAATTTCTGTAACAAAAATGAATGCAAAATTTTCAGCTGTGTGATAAAAATTTCAGAATTTTTGATTTCCAGGATTTACATCTCTGTAACTCCTATGGATCACCGCTGCCATAAAAAAAAGTTGTTGAATATTGAAGCGAACCTGGCATAGATCCATAACGACCGATTCATGGATTTTCTGCCATAAGTGAGCACGGAAAATTTGAATCAGTGATATTTTCAGCGTAGGTATTTTGCCGTGCATGAAAATTCCGGTCAAATCGAGTTGTACTTGGAAACCAACATATACC